AGGTGTAGGCTCCTCCAGAGGAGATGAGACAGGAGAGGACCCCACCACCATCCCCAGCTTGTTGAAATAGAATCCAAACACTGGTTCCACTGGGACCCAGCAATGGCTCCGCCCTGCACCACAGCACCCTCTACTGGCATGGAAGCATGCAGGATAAACAGAGCCTGGGTGTGCTTCCGCAGATGGGGTCTCTGCATCTTGCTCTGAGAGCAGTAAAGGCAAAGGGAATGATTTAGGAACCCAGTTATTCTTACTCAGAGCACCCCTCCCAGCCTTGTATCCCGGCAGACCCAAGCTGCCATCTGGGGCCATGAGGGGGCAAGATTAATAAAGCTGTCTGGCCCAGGCAGGAGCCTGCTGAGGAAAGCCCCGGGGCACTGTATAACCTCAGCCCCGTCCCTACCCTCTCCGGGCCTAGGGGCTCCCATCTGTCAGGGGATGGCAGGGCTGGGTCCTGCCCCTACAGCTTCCAGCTGGCTCAGGGGAGGAGCTGCGCATCTTTCCCAGGCTTTGTGCTTGGCTGCACAGTTTAGGCCAGGGATGCTGGGGACGAAAGCATGGCTCCTCCTCTCTCAGTGCTGTGTCTGCCTCCATGTCCCATGGACACTATTTTGTCAGGAACTCTGGTTTTCAGTTCAATGACATAACTCACGAAGCAGAGCAAACTCGGGCTACTTGGTTATCATCTCTGAGCCTCCATTTCCTCACATGTAAGAGTGGATGCTGGGACCCACAACCTACATAACCTACATCTGAGCAGAGCCAGATGCTTGGTAAATGCTTTATCTTATAGTTACTATTAATTGACACAGTATTAGAGCAATTAATTTGAATATGGGGCCACTTAGGACAAAGCCATTTGTACCCATGCCAACCATGTACTGCATCCCTGGTCCTCCCCACACCCTGCGTGATTTGGGTCAGACATCCGTTTACTCCTGATGTGTGCTAACACTGAGAACCACAGTACCTCCACCTCCAAAGTCTTCCCTCTCCTCTAGCACTGTTGATTCTTTCGGCCACCTTTGGTTTCAAAGCGGATCCTTGCAGTTCTCAGAGTGACTGTTCCAGATCTCAGCGACTTGATAAGGTGGGGCTGTCCCAGGCTCTGAAGCAGCAGTGATGAAATGAATGGAGTCATATTTCCAGGCAGACAGGAGCAGAACGGTGAGACAGGCCCTCCAGGACAGAGAGGAAAAGCGGTGGGGCAGCAGAGGGTTTCAGCCTCAAAGATTGGAAGCCCCGTGTGCCAGACGACAGCATGCACGCAGTGGATGCTCCTCAGTGAGGAGATAAGTGCTTGCCACCCAGTCCTCCTAGACACCGGAGGTTCCTGTGCAACCCATATTCCCTATGCCCAGCAGCTGTATTCAGAGGAAAATGGTGCATGACAGAATTAAGACCATGGCCTGGGATGATAGATAAATGTGATGGTGCTGGAATCAGGGAGGGGGGAAGAAGAGGGCTTGGGAACCAAGAACCTTCTTCTTGGGAAGAAGAGGGACCCAGCCCTGCTCCCCCAAGTCCCATGACTAAGCATGGATTAGCTGCAGAACCACACCTCTTGAATGACCCTAGAGCTGTGACAAATCAGGTGGCTTCATCTTGTCCAGTGAACTATCCCTGTATGGAGATCTTGGTCTTGTCAGACCTGAATGCCCTGTCCTCTACCCTTCCGAGAGTTCTTTCCGTTTTTTACTGAGTTCTGCGAAGGCATGGTACATAGACCCTTCCTCCTGCCAGGGCGAATTTTGGGGGAATCCTCACCAGACAGACCAGGTAGGATGGCAAGCAAAGGGATGGATGGATGGATGGATGATGGATGGATGGACAGAGAATATAAATTAATGGAAGTTGAGTGGATGAGTGGGTAGATTGATAGATGGTAGGTGGATGATGGATAGACAAATGGATGGGTAAATAGATACTTGAATGGCTAAGTAGATGAAAGTATGAGTGAACTGGTGGGTGAATAGATGGATGGGTGGGTAGATAGGTGGATGGATGGATAGATGAATGGGTAGGTTGATGAGTGGGTAGGTACATGAATGTATGTATGTATGTATGGATGTATGAATGGATGTATGGGTGGATAGATGGGTTGATAGATGAATGGGTGGGTATGTAGGTAGATGGGTAAATAGATGATTGGGTGGATAGATGGATAGGATAGATGGATGGATGGATGGTGGGTGGGTGGGTGGATGGATGGATGGGTGGGTGGTGGGTGGATGGATGGATGGATGGATGGATGGATGGGTGATGGGTGGGTGGATGGATGGATGGGTGGGTGGTGGGTGGGTGGATGGATGGATGGATGGATGGGTGATGGGTGGATGGATGGATGGATGGGTGGTGGGTGGATGAATGGATAGATGAAGGGATGGATGGAGTAGGTAGGTAGGTTGATGGATGGACAGATGGATAGACTGATGAATCAGTTAATCAGCAGATTAGTAAAAGAAGGGAGAGTAGGAAGAAGGAGAATCTGTCACCCAGCATACACTTCACTGTCCCCAAGTGGGTTTCTCTTGAAGGAGAGCATCTGAGCAAGTGTTTTGAGACCTTAAAATCCTCTCATCTCCCCCGAGAAAGATCCTCAACCCAAGCTCTGCCGGTAGACCTTCTCTTGAGTCTGTTCTCTAACACAGCCTAAAGCAGGTCTGGGCTACAGAACTTCCCACATATGTGACCAGCACAAGCCTCCACAGAGTAAGCCCAACTTCCTTTGTGCTGCTGGGAGCTGACTCTCTAGAGGAAACTTCTAGCAAATCTTCATGCAGAACCAAGAAAGGCTCCCTGCATCAAACTTCTCCCTGATGATAGCCTGTAGTTACTGGGAAGGACTTGGTGGCATGGCCCTCAGCAGAGGAGTAACAGATGCCCAGGTGGCATCAGATGGTCACCCAAGCCTGTCACCTCAGAGCAGCACTGATAAAGACCATGGCAGAAACTACATAAAGATATGGCTCCCGTGCAGCCAGCAGGGTACTAGGGACTGCTGTGTAGGCAGGAGATACCCAGTGCCGCCTTCCCCAGCTGGCACAGCACCACATTCCGACAGCCTTTCATTAGCACCATGGACCAGTTAGCAAGTCATTGCCTGTGTACATCAGGAGCTCTGATTGCGTCCCGGTGCCCGCTATCCTGCAACAATAAACTCTGTCCTCTAGGGCAAGCTGGGCTGGTGCGAGGCACACCTAAGAGGCTCTGACTAGGAGACTTTGTCCTGCTGGCCCCTGGAGAGCTGCCCCGGTGACCCTTCTGCCCCCTGACATTGACCCCCACTCTGACTCTGTCCAATCTGTGTATCCCTTCCTGCACCCCACATTGATCACTCTCTATCACCTGTCCCCTTCATTTCTCTCTTGCATATAGGTCTCTGTTTCTGAGCTTCTGACTCTGCCATTTTGTCTTTTACTTCTCTCAGTCACTCATTGATGAAGTTGTGTTAACTGATGCCATTGTGCTGGTCTGTCCTGAACACTGGAAGTATCTCAGTGAACACATTGGTCGTGGCTCTTGGGGAAACATGTCTCGCTGAGGTCCATGTGCACTCCTGAATAACCACACAGCACCTACAGCAGGTGGTACCCACAGGGTGCTGGGCTGCCCCAGCCAGGGTCCATCACTGGCTGGCTACATGTCACAGGCCACATTGATACTTCTCAACTCTTTGGGAAGAATGATAATTTTCAGTGATGTGTTAGCGACGTAAGGTATCCCAGGCCAATCCTAAGTCAGCACTTAATGGTATCAGACATATGTACCCCTCAAAGCTCCGAGCTTTTATTCTACCTGAAGCAGTAAATTGCATTTCATGTAAGCATAGGACTCCCAGAGGCTTGGGAGAAGGGTCTCTGGGCAATAGGTCCAGTCTGCTGCTCCTGTATCCCTAGGTAGTCTTGTGGAAGGGCATGAGGAGGCAGCTCCCAGCCTGCTCTCCACTGTACTTCCCCTGTCCTACACCCCCAGTGAAGAAGTTGGGTTCACACCAGGTCAGGTTGGCCCTGGACGCTGGCCCTGTTTCCATGCTTCCCGGCCAGGATTGAAGGACTTAATCTACGTAATGGCCTGCCTTTATCAAACATCTGTCATTCTCCTGTGCAATCTGAAAACAGGTTTCCTCTCCAGGGGACTTCCCTGCTCCCAATCCAAGACTGGCCCCTACGCCTGCTGGAGATGAAGGGCTGAGTCCTGGGATCAGGGGTGGGGTAATGGGGTAGCGTGGAGAGTGCTGAAAATAACTAGGGTTTCCTGGCCTCAGGGACCCAGTTAGAGAACTGCTGTGGAAACCCCTATCCTTTTAAATGTCGCCTTTCCCCAACCCGGGGTTGCTGCAGCAGGGTCCCAAGTGTTCAGGGGTTGTCTGTGCAAGAGAGAGGAGATGAAAGGATGGAGCCATCAGCTAGGTTTGGAGCAGGGAGACCCTGCAAGGGTTCAGTTTTTAAATCCTCCAGGGGCTTTGCATTTCAGGGCCATTTCAGGTCAAGACGCTAAAGCAAAACCCCATGGAGACTGTGATTTGGCCAACCCTGAAGGTGGTAGGTTTGGTCTGTCCTCCCAGCCTTCAGGGCATCTGCTCCCCATATCCTATGGGCTCAGTGGAGTGAGAACCACCACAGAGGGCCTTACACTCCATGGACAGTCTCTTCCTTGGCACCTCGTGTGTGTGTGTGTGTGTGTGTGTGTGTGTGTGTGTGTGTTTGTGTGTGTGTGAAGTATATGGAGTGTGGAATGTGTCTGTGTGAAGTGTGGTGTGTGGCATGCACTTCAGAGGACGGTGACAGAAAAAGAGACAGGGAACTAGAGAACGAGAGTTAAGGCTCCAGATTAAAGCTCCAGCTGTCCTTGCCCGGTGCTGACCCAACAAGAAACAAATCTTTGCCCTTGAGAGAGGAATTGTTACTGGGTCTCCTGGCCGAGGCTGGGCCGGGCTCCAGCTGGAGGAATGTCTGAGTGTCTCCAGCTGAAGAATTGATTGGCCTTGTGTTTTCTAGGTGGAACACCATGGAAGGCGACTGTCTGAGCTGCATGAAGTATCTGATGTTTGTTTTCAATTTCTTCATATTTGTAAGTGACCCTGGGTCTCCATTGGGTGTCCCCTAGATCTCTGGTCTCTGCTGATGACAAGCCTAACCTCCTCCCTAAAATGTCCACAGGAAGCTGATTACCCAGAGGTAGATGAGTCTGACCAGTGGGCTTTCTGGGAGGGCTGGCACTGACTGCCCTAATCCTGAGTCCCAACCACTACTTCCTTTACAGCAGATGTTTCAGCCAGGCCCTGAGATGGACAGCCTCTGGCAAAGGATAGGCTAGAGGGACCAGGGAGAGGACTCATTTACAACCCACGTTCAGGGCCTAGAACCCACATAAAAGGCCAAATGTGATGGCACATGCTCATAACTCCTGCTCTGGGAGACACCCCAGGGGCTTTGCCTCAGCTAACACTGTCAAAAGCAATGTGGATGGCTCCTGGGGAACCGCACCTGGGATTGACTTGTGGCCTGCACATGCACACACATGCACACATATGTATGTGCACCTGCTTACCCACACACACACAAACACACGCTCAAGCAGTGACCTCAGAGCTGTTCAGGCCAGCCTTGTGGGAGCCTCTCAGAGGAGCCTGCCTTGACACTGCAGCTCTGCAATTGGAAGCACACTTCATCATGCGGAACCTCAACATCTTTATCTCTCTTTGTTTGATTGTTCTATTTTTTTTCAAGACAGGGTTTCAACCAGCAGTGGTAGTACATGTCTTTAATCCGAGCATTCAGGAGGTAGAGGCAGGTGGGTCTCTGTGAGTTCAAGGCCAGCCTGGTCTACAGATGGAGTTCTAGGGTCTGCCCCATAGCTACTGAGAAACCCTGTCTTGAAAAACAAAAAACAAAAGCAAAAAAATCAAGACAGTGTAGCCCTGACTGTGCTGGACCAGGCTGGTTTAAGCTCAGAGACCCTCTGCCTCCTGAGAGCTGGGATTAAAGGCGTGCACCACCACTGCCTGGCTCTGTCTTCATGTCTTAATGACTCACCAAAACAGGCTTTTTGAAAAGGTATCAAGATAGAGAGCAAGGTGACTAGAATGTGGCCAGTACAGAACAAGCTTGTCCATACCCTCCACACCGCAGCCTGGTTATGAAGGGGCAGAGGTGCTGGCATTAGGAAACCTTGTCCATCTAGCAGCCCACCAAATTCCCTACTCAGCCCCTTCCAATAGCAGGACCCCCCCCACACACACACACACATCTCTTGGGCCTCCATGGGCTTCCCTGACCAGCCTGAGTCTTCTAGCTCAGGCACCACTACTGGTGGCTGTGGCGGACTGTCTGCGCTTCTGCTTGTCCAATTTCACATCTTTTTGTGTTTTCCTGGAACCTGCTCCTGGGCTTTGGAGCCAGGCAGCCTACAGACCAAATGGCATTTCCCTAGCTGGGAAGCCCAGCCCATTTTTCCCATGCCTGGACCCTCCTAATTAACTCTCATCAGCTGACTATTTAACTCCAAAGCCACCCACAGTGATGAGAGGAGCAGACCTTACTGGAGGATTTATGGGGAAACTGAGGCAAAAGTTAGGGTGCAACAATCAGCGCTGGCCTCTCTTCCAGCCTGCCCGCTCCTCCTCCAGTCTCTCCACCCACCCCACCTGATGCACCTGCCAATGGCCTTCACCCAGCTTTCCTGCTCTGCCCACAGCTTATAGACTTGCTGAGTCAGCCAGGGCCAGCAGTGATCCCAGCTACCTACCATTCTTCACCTGTGCCACCAGGAACATCGGGCCCTGTTAGACCCCAGAATCAGGGCAAACCAGTTCCGCACACAGCAGCCCCGCTTCCAGTGCTGTCGATTCTTGAGAGAAATGGAATGCCCTGCGCCCTGGAGTCTGCTGTGTCTGCTCTGTGGGGCTGCTGTGGGAGGTGGGAATTCAAGATGCTGGTTAACCCGAGGGTGCTAAGGCTCAGAAAGAGTCAGCCACTTACTTGAAGTCACACAGCTAATAAACAACAACCACAGCCCCTGCTCCAGCTTAAGCGGCTTCTCTCCCAAGATGAACAAGGCATGGAGAGAGATGGGCCATGCAAAGATATCAGTGAGAGGCTTTGGGAGTGCAGCTGGGCGATGGTGGCACACGCCTTTAATCCCAGCACTTGGGAACAGAGGCAGGTGAATCTCTGTGAGCTCGAGGCCAGCCTGGCCTGTAGAGTGAGTTCCAGGACAACTAAAGCTGCAGACACACAGAGAAACCCTGTCTCCAAGAAAAGGGGGAGTTAATTGAGCAAACCCTGCCACTAGGGTGGCCACTGTGAGCTCAACATCACCCTCACAGCTTGTCCATGGAGGTTTGTTCAATGTCAGGGAGATCTAGGCTGCAGCCTTGACTCTGCCATGACCTTTTCCAAATCATTGACCTCCCCTGGGCCACAGTGTGAAAACCTCATAAACCTGAAGCAGTGACATTTAAGAAGCACATGAAGGTCACAAATAAACCCCGTGTGGCATGGTCCTTCACAGCCTGAGGAGCCACACAGGTCAGAAATAGGTTGAGAGGGTGTGAGCTACACTGAAGGCCAAGGAGCCAGGGGCCACTTGGAGTCCCACAGAGACTGTGGGCTGTGAAGATAGATTTGGGCTCAGCATGGTGGGACCCTGCCCAACACTGCAGGCCTCAGCACTTCAGACCCAGGCCTCACTGAGGGAAGGATGTGGAAGAAACATCTAACGACACTGTCTGCCCTCCTTTCTCCATGCCTGCCTGTGGACAGCTGGGAGGAGCCTGCCTGCTGGGTGTAGGCATCTGGGTCCTCGTGGATCCGACTGGCTTCCGGGAAATTGTGGCTACCAACCCCCTGCTGACCACGGGTGCCTACATCGTCCTGGCCATGGGAGGCCTGCTGTTTCTTCTGGGCTTCCTGGGCTGCTGCGGTGCTGTCCGAGAGAACAGGTGTCTGCTGCTATTTGTGAGTGACGCATCTCTCACCCCCACTCTACCTGTGGCTACTGTGGGAGGGAGAGAGGGCTGCTGACTCCCAAGCCCAACCTGGTTTCAGAAACTAGAAAGTTCTCCCCACCTCTGTGACTGTCAGCATTAAAGCCAGTGGGTCCTGGGATCTGGGGATGTAACTCAGTGGTAGAGAACCAGTATCCACCCACGAAGCCCTGGGTTCAGTCTCCAATTCACTGATTGTGTCAGCAGTTTGGAAGCCCTGAGATGTCCAGTTATTTACCCTTAGCGCTGCAGCATCTCACCCTTGGGTAAAGTCTAAGGTCAGGACACCGTCCCAGAGTCCCTTTCCAGAAACATGAAACAGAGACCAGAAGAAAGGTTGAGAGAGTTTTGAATTTGGCAGAAGTAGGAAGACACACTTTGGCCGTGTGAGAGAATGGAGAACCTGGTTTCTCAAACATTGGCCCAGTGAGGTGGGCGTGAAAACTGAGTTCTGCCCAGGATGATACCTGAGCTTTTTGCCATGAAAACTGCCCTCCACTCCCATAGACCAACCATGGGAAAACTAACTAATCACTCTCTGTTTGTTTAACTTTGGGTCTGGTAAGTCTGTTCCAAGTAGCCCCAGACCCAAGATGGTTGTTAAGGATACGATATAACTAACTCTGCTGTCACAAAGATACCTCTTAGCTGTGGGCCAGGAAGGCATAGGTAACTGTATCTGTCATTAGTTTACATTTTAACTTGGTGACCAGTTGAGAGGACCACGCTGTTCTGGTTCATTCATGGCTCAGCAGTGACAGACAGCAGTTTAAGGACGGCTTGGTGGAACGCTAGTGTCTGAAGAGCTGCTTCTTAAGCCAGTCTTCCTCCTCTCCCCAGGTCTAACTCCTTGCCAGCCCAACACACAGAGTGATCCTGTGATGCCCTGACTCCCCTACCTCCCCTCAGGAAGCCAAGCCAGTGCCACTGCACACTTGGCTGTGTCGCCCAGGTTCTGACCTCCAGGAGCAAGGCAGCCCCTGGGCTTTGCTGTCCCAGCTCCTAAGCCTGCTGTCCTCATGGGGCCCCTGCTCACAGTTCTTGGCGAGGCCTTGGCCTCTTGAGTCTAAACAGTCAGGCTTCTCCGGGTCCAGTCCACTGCTGTTGGCTGTGATAGTCTCCTTCCTCCAAAGCCCCAATATGTACACCCTTAGTAACAAAGCCACACTGGCTGTTGGACACATCACGTGCCCTGCAGCTCTCGGCTTCCCGAGTGGAGATGGAATGCTCTCCGAAGCTGCTTGTTAGTTCTTCGTATTTGTTACTTTTCTCATGGCTATGACAAATTGCCTGGCAAAAGCAACTTAGGGAAGGAATGGTTTCTTCTGGCTCAGTTCAGAGGTGCAATCTATCAAGGGGGAAAGGCACGGTAGCAGAAACTTGAGGCAGCTGGGTCACATTGTCTCTGTAGTCAGGAAGCAGAGAGAGGAGCACTGGTGCTCGGCTCACTTTCTCCTTTTAATTCCTCCTGAGATCTCAGCCCATGGAGAGGTGATGCCGTGTCTAAAGCATATCTTCCCTCTGCGCTTAACTTCCTCCCAGGCATGGCCAGAGGCTTGTCTCCTAGGTAACTCTAGATCCTGCCAAGTTGACAATACATGTTAACCATCACAGTCTTCTATTCCTGCTTTGGGGGTACCCTTGCAGCTCCCTTGCTGCTAGAGATGGGTCAGGGGCCTGGAGTAGCTGTCTCCTCCCTCGTGCCCAAGCTGTGAGAGGTGACCTAGCCACTGAGGATGTACTAGGCAGGAGTTGTGTGTGTCCACCCTGCTCTGTGCTCCATCTGGTTTTTTAGCCTCTCAGCACAGCGGTTTTGACTGTCAGGGAACCGCCTAGCTCTGCTGGAGGCTGAAGCTCTGTAGACCAAGGAGCAGCAGAGGGTCTTTCTCTGGATTCTCCTGGGTTCTGGAGAGGTGGACTCGCTGTCCTTGATGGGTGGGTTTCTCTCCCAGGAACTTCTGTGAGCCTGGGGCCAAGAGAACTTCAATGTTGAGCCCAGCCCTGCTGCAGAACTCCTGCTTAGGGGTGAATATGTACCTCAAACCTGCAAATACTTCTTGTGCATACATAGATGGCAGGCAATTCAGTGATAGGGCCATCTTGGCTGGTGGGCTGAAGGACTTCCTTGTAGGGACCTGTGGAGGGTACTTAGCACACTATGGACTGAGGCCCAGGGCAAACAGCAGGCTCAGGAGCTGGGGTTGGAAACACTGGTCAATGCCTCTCTCCTGGAGGACAGGCCACTGGTCTGATCATGGACACAGTCAAGTGTGCAGAGATCAAAGGCTCTGCCTTGCAAGTAGTGAAGCTGTCTTTGCTACAGACAGCAGCAGCAGGCATGCTAGAGGAAGCCATCTGGCCAGGGGCTCCTCCCAGATTTACACACCCCCATGTGGCTCATTCCTATCATAGCTGTGTGTGCCACCTCCCAGGGAGGAAGTGCAATGGCCTGTGACATGAGCGGCAGGGGAGCTGTTGGTCCTTTTAGTTCTCCGAGCAGAACACTGGCCAACTTTACCAGGAGAGACAGAGACCTGCGGGTACCCCCTAGTGGAATGTCCCTTCCACATCAGTCAGCTCCTGGGTGCAGCAGCTCTAGCTGGGGGGCCAAGGGCTTTAGGAAGGACCTGGTCTCGGTGTGTGAGGACCCGTTTGTGCCACTCCCAGGCAGGTGCCCAGAGGGTTCCATAGCCCTACCACAGAGAGGCTTGAACATCCATGTTCATTGCTGCTCTGTTCACAACAGCCAGAAAATGGATGAATGGATAATGAAAATGTGATGCATATGCCACAATGGAATTTTATTCAGCCATAAAGAAAAATGAAATTTATTAAATTTGCAGGCAAAATGGGTGGAACTGGAAAATATTGCATTAAGTAAGGTAACTCAAGCACAGAAAGACAAATAGCTCGTGTTCTTTCTCATGCAGATCCAAACCTCTAATTTTTATTTATGTGTATTTATGTGGGAATAAGTACTTGGTAGAGGCCAGAAAACTAGCAAGGGGCCCAAGAGAGGAAAAACAGAGGCTTTAGGAGAGGGAATGGGAAGATACCAGAATATATATGATAAGAAAAGTGAATTAGGTGTGCTGAGAAGGAAGGGGTAAGGAGATGGGGAGATGAGGGAATTCATAGAAGGAGCAACCAAAACTAAAGCGGTATGACAATGCCATAAAGAAAGAGAGGGGAAGGAATAAAAGATGCAGAAAGCAAGACGTGCCTTCCCTCCTCGCTTTGGCCCCCAGGGATGCATCTCTGTTAATGGGACCATCCCTGCAGCCAAGCCCGGAAGGCAGTCTGTGCTCTTGACTGAGAGCAGTCTGGGCTCTGCTGCTTTGCCAGCCTCCGCTAAGTGTACCCTGCATCCTGCCAGCCTGCACCCTGCCAGCTGGAGAGGAGAATGGGGCATTTGTTTTTCGTCAAGTTAAGGAGAAGGTTGAGAGCTGGGACAGGCTGAAGTAGCCTAGTCCTCTTAGGTCCTCCCTGACGCTCTCTGTCTCCACATGGACCCCTCTGCTCCCCTCTCAGATTCAGCCATCTCTCAGTTTCTCTTCCTGCTCAGTTTATTCCCCTCCCTACCACTCCGCCTCTCTGTTCCCTGCTCACCCTGCTCCCAGGTCCAGTTCACACAAGCCTAAAGTCAGTGTGGACCAGAGGCAGAGCAGAATACTCAGACTGCTGCCATCCAAACCAGGGCTACACTAGAGCTGTGGGCATGTGTGTGGGCAGAGACTGCCCGTTCATTTCTTGGTCGCCCAAACCCGAGATAATCACACAGAAACTATATTAATTGCAATACTGTATGGCCAATAGCTTAAGCGTATTTCTAGCTAGCTATTACATCTTAAATTAACCCATTTCTATTATTTTATATTTTAACACGAGACTCATGGTTTACCAGTAAGGTTCCAGGACATCTGTCTCCTTCGGCAGCTACATGGTGTCTCTCTGACTCCACCTTCTCTCCATATATTTCTGTTCGGATTTCCCGCCTGGCTTTACTCTATTAAGCCATTGGTCGAAACAGCTTCTTTAATAACCACTGGCAATAAAGCATATTCATAGCATATAGAGGGGAATTCTACATCATCACATGTGTGTATGTTCTAAGTATGTGCATGTATGTGTGAGTACACATGAATGTGTGCATGTATGGTATGTGGTACCTTGTATAGTTTATTACAGGTAAATGTGTACATATTATGTGTGCATTTATGTTTTGCCATGTGTATATGGTGTGTGTACCTGGGTTGTGTGTTTGGTGGGTTATGTAGTAGTGTGTGAGTTGTATGCAAACACGTGTACAAGTGCCGGGATTACAGGTGCGCCCCCAGGCCCAGGTCGTGCAATGCTAGGGATCCAGTCCAGGACTGAATATGCTAGGCAAGCCTTCTGCCTCCCGAGCTACAGTCCCTTCGGGAAGGTTTTCTGGAAGGTTCCAACTGGTGTCTTTCCCAACTAAAGCTGGCTGTATGGTTGCTGCTGTAGAAGAGGGCCACTGAGTCAGACCCTGGTGGCCTCTTAACTTCCTCCTTAGCCTGGTTGTCTGAACAAGGAAAACAACATGGCTTTAGCCATTCCAGGTCTGCAGCAGTAAGGCCTAGATACGGAGCAAACCCTGCCTGGTTCTGGGGCTAAGAACCTGGGTCAAGTCTAAGGACAACTGGCTCTGTGACTAACCCAGCTAACAATGATAGCACATGTGTGGGTCAGTGTCCCCAACACTAGCTCTTGCCATGCCTCTATTAAGGGTCTACCCTGGCCATGTCCTGTGTGTCTCCTCTGAATGTCACAGGAAGCCCTATGTCCACCTTACCTAAAGATTCTCATTTTAACAAGGGTGGGGAGGGGAAAGAGAAGGAAGGAGAGGGGGAGGGGGAGTGTATTTAGCAATTACCTTAGCTGTACTATGTGGAAATTGGGGACTGTTTATTAGGAAGGAGAGCCAGGACATTCATCCTGGAGAAGAGAACCCAGGCTTATCAGAGGTGGAAATCAAAGGGCGGGCCTTCCCTGGGAGGGCATCCTAGGCCTGTAAATGGAGACTGCTCTGTCATTTCCTGGCCGCCCTGACCTGGATAATCACACAGAAACTATATTAATTACAACACTGTTTGGCCACTGTCTCAGGTGTATTTCCAGCTCACTCTTATATTTCAAATTAACCTATTTCGATCATTCTCTGTAACACCATGAGACTGTGGCCTACCGGTAAAGTTCCCGTGTCTGTCTTCTTCGACAGCTACATGGTGTCTCTTTGACTCTGCCTACTCTTTCTATATATCTCTGTTTGCATTTCCTGCTTGGTTGTACTCTGCTAAGCCATTGGCTGAAACAATTTTATTCATTAACCAATAAAAGCAACACATGTACAGAAGGACATCCCACATCGTAGGCCCCCTGGGGAAAGTCTCAAGCAGTGAGAAGCTAAGGGAGCAGGAGGGAGTAACCCGGCTGGAAGAGCCCAGGAGACTGGAAACAGCATCGCCTCTGGTGTAGGTGTAGCAACCTGAACTTTCCTCTTGAAATTCACACCCTGTGCAGGGCAGATCTGTGGGTGGGAGCTCCCAGCCTCCCTGCCTCTGCTGATCTTCCGCTTTCCCAGACCAAGATTTGCCACATTCATTCTTGGCCTCTCTCCTGAGGCTTCAGCAGCCCAGCCCAGGGTGAGCCTGTGCCTGCCTTGTGTGTATTGGCTTGTCAACATTATCTCAGAGCAGGCACTCGAAGGAAGCTTTGGGAACAGATCAAGGATGTTGGTGAGCATGAGCTTTGCTATTTGGCTGTGCATCCCATGGCTGACTGTTTAACCTCTCTGAACCTAAGACTCTTCATGTGTAAACTGGGGATAACCAGATCTTCCCAGCTATCATTCTGTGCTCACAATCCAAGGGGAACATTTGCATCTTACTTAGCTCTGCTCCTGACTTAATATATAGGAAATTAAAAAAAAAAAATCAGTGCTGGCCATTCACAACTCTCAAAACTGAAACCTCCTGCAGTCACCCTCAAATGACAGGAACACCACCCCCCTCCTCCAGCAGTAAAATGGAGGGCTGGTGCCCTGAGCACTTGCCTCTCCCCCAAGCTGCAGAAAGGCAACCACCGAGTGGCATGCAACACTGCAGTGGTGAGAGCAAAGGGCAGGGCAGTTGCTGTTTTCCTAGATGGTGCCCAGGCTTCCGTGGGTTCTCAGTGGTCTTCCACGCAGATCAGCAAGGTTGCTCTCAGGCTTCCATGGGTTCTCAGTGGTCTTCCACGCAGATCAGCAAGGTTGCTCTCAAACAAAGCTCATCATCTACTGTCGCGTGGAAAGCATTGCAGGCATCACGGTGGGGTCGACTGCCTGAGGACCGGCCAACAGTCAGGGAGGACACAGGGCAGGGAGGATTTGCCAGCAGTCAGGGATGACACAGGGCAGGGAGGACTTGCCAGCAGTCAGGGAGGACACAGGCCAGGGAGGACCCGCCAACAGTCAGGGAGGACACAGGCCAGAGAGGACCCACCAATAGTCAGGGA